TACCTTCAAATTCTCCAATCTCTTGTAAAAATTTGGTCGACGTAGTTCGTATCCTGTTTCATAATATATTGTGTTAAACTGCAATTAAAAAACCACATAAAAAATGCATAAATATTGAAAATAAAACTTACCCATGCTGACTATCTCGCTACGAATATACGCGTTATGAAACTCTCGGCCTCCGAACCGTACATGGGACGAGTTTCTGCCTTATACAGCTCGGGCCGAAGACCGAGGGAAGTTTAGGAGAGATGGGGCCAGCAGCCCGTGGCCGCCTGCCTGGTGGGGGCGGCTCCTCCGTTGTGGGTAAACGGGAAACCCGACTCTACGAACCCGAGGAAAGGCTTCACAGAATGTGACAGTTTCGAATTCTGTCGTCTCTGTCTATTCCGTTTAGGGAATGGGCTTATTCATTCCGATTTCTGTAAATACTTCTATGTAAATATCTCCCCTAGTTGTGCTGAAACATTCTTAACCTTCTTATAGACAGATAGATTGAAGCTGTCCTTTTCCTATTCTTAGAAGGGGTTTCTAGTTCTTTCGTTACGCCGAGAAGAAAGAAGCTTGGAAGAAGAGATGGTCAATCTTCTCTTATTGATACTATTCTTGCCAATATGATGGATACAAAATATCGAATATGCATACGGAGGTATCCAACGACTTCTTGGTCGTTCAATTGCCGCCAAAATACCCATTCCTCTATCGGATATCAAGCAAACTCCATCTTCATGAACGACATATTAACGTAGATTGGTCAGAAAGAAATCCCAAACCTCTGTTGTCTATCCCTCAACAATAGCGAATGCAATTGGTAAGATATTTCACTTACCATCTTGCGCAACTGCCATCAAAAGTATATGCCTATATTGACCATACAACCACGTACCATCTACTTGGATCATACGTTTGCAAAATGGAAATCCTTCAGTACATACCTTGAATGCCCAAAATAGTCTATGAAATATTTTCTTCCCTGGAAGAAGTTGACCTTCTTCGTCATATACGGGCATGGTTTGAGACTTCCCTATGCTTCCTGGGATAAATCGCTTCATTGCTTGTAGTAAATGTTGTAGCTCATTGTACAATGTATCTCAATCTCCATACGTCAGCTTCATTGCCTTCATCTTCGTATTCCACACCTTGCCATATTTTACTTGATATCCAAATTGACTTCGAATAGAAGCAGCTAACACTGAACAAGATATCCTTGGATCCTTTTCAACCATCGCCTTTACGTATTCGCATATTACATTAGAATCCAATAGTCGGTGATCTTGTGATGACCATTGTACCTCGTGATGACCCAAACATCGTGCCTTTGATTTTTGACACTCTGATCTTCCACTTGCACTCTGGGCCATATTTTACACACTTCGCGTATAGGTTTTCTGGTTTGACTCTGCAACATGGACATCAACTTGGCATTTGATGCAGTACTCTTTAATCGCCAGCGTAGCTTCATTTTTTCCTCTGAATTACTTCCCAAATGAAAATTCACCAGAATTATCGAATGATTCAATCATTTGGTACGGAGGTAAATGTGGCATGTATGGGAATTCAGGTGCCCTCATCGCATCATAGTTTATCTCGTACATGCGAGGAGTAGCTTCATACGGTGTCGGAACTTCATCAATTGCACCTCCACCGAAAAAAATTTCATCGTCGACCAAAATGGGTTCTTCGGTTTCTTCAACTTCGCTTGAATCATCATGAATTTCTCCCCATCGATTTTCAACATCAATAACAACAGCCAATTCCGGCATATTTCTCGTATCATACTCTGCTGCTGTAGATGTCCCTCCGACTTCATTTCCACTTTCTAATAGTTCCATAAAATTATTCTGGAACCTGTATGTAGGGTACTCAAACTCACAATCGAAAGCCATTTCAGATGAATTTTGAGCCACATCTCTTGATGACCCAGGAACATCACATATGTTACGCACATCAACAAATAACTCAATAACTGCTATATTGGTTGACTCATGTAATCCAATCATGGTTCTAATATCATCATCTTCTTCAATTGGAACTGCAACATATCCGACTGGGTTGGGACATATCATAAATCTGTACCTCAAACCATCCACTGCAACTCGAATTTTTCTTTCTATCTTCTCCTTCATTTCTATAAATGTGATGTTTTTTTAACATCATATTTATTAGTTTTTCAGACTAAAAAATAACTCCGACCTCATTTTCCATAATCTGTCCATTATAATGGACAATCGTGAAAAAGTTGTTGCTCATTTTCTCTACAAATAAAAATATATATAAATTTATATTAAAAAAATTAGATAAGATAATTTCATAAATCATTTAGTAATGATTACTAATAATAATGATTAGTTTGATAATATTTTTATTTTTTTTAAATATCAAACAAATTTGTTAATTAATTGTTATAAATTTTAAGATTATATTCTATTCATTTTTTACTCCTTACTAATTTACACTTAATCTAATATAAATTAAACAAAATATTTTTTTAAAACAACACTAAATATTTTTAAACACAATGTTTTTTTAAAATGGAATAAATTAAACAAATTAATTTTATATAATCTAATATAAACTAACTAACTAATTTACACATACACAAAAACAAAAAATGAACAACAAAAAATAATAAACTACCCCATATTTATGCCTTCTTCATTTCCTTTCTTTTCCTTTCTTATTTATTTCTTCAAATCAATCTATACGTAGACAAAAAATAATAATGGTCTGTATGTGTAAAAAAAATATTTCTTTAAACAACAATAAATTAAACAAATTAATTTTATATAATCTAATATATTATAATATAACTTAAACTAATAAACTATTTCTTTATTATAATATAATTTAGTTAAAATAACAAACTAACAAACTTAAGCTCTAATTAACTTTTTTTATAATATAACTTAAACTTCAAGAAACAACCTAATATACGTTTAAACACACTAACAAATTAATTAAATATTTTTTTACATTTAATAACTTAAACTAAGAAACTAATTAACTAATTTTTTTATATAATCTAATATATAACTTAAACTAACAAACTAATATAATATAACTTAAACTAACAAAGTAATAATTTATACTAACAAACTAATTAACTAAATTTCTGTTTTACCCTAAACCCTAAACTAACAAACTAATTATTTCATATAATAAACTAAATTAAACAATAAAAAATTACCTCACGAACGATGTTTGAGCCTTTATCTCCCTTTCTTCTTCTTCTTTTCCTTTCCTTTCTCTCTCCAAATTTTCTTTCTTTCTTATGATTCTACCCTAAACCCCTCATATCCAATATATAATGAGCTTTGCACGGTTAGTAAGATGCAATCAATTTGAGCTGTATAATTCACGTTGAAGGCTGCAAAATTTTCAACCGTTGAACGCTGCAATAATGCAACACTAATTGATGCATGCAGCAACTGATTTTACGCTGCAACAATGCAACTATGATAGCGGGAAGGGACAGCCTCGAAGCCATGGCAAGAGGGAGCAACGGGAGCAGCTATGACACGAGGGAACAGAAACTTGGTCGTCGGGCGTGCATGGCGACCTATGTGGGAGTGTTGGCAATCATTCTCTCTCCGTTGGACATCGTGCATGGCACATGCATGGAGACAAGGTTGCCCGGAGGGCATGGCGACCTACCCCTAGCTTGTGCATGGCTCATGCAAACTCTCGTAACTCTCGTATAATGTCGTCTGGAAGGCATGGCGACCTGCAAGGTTGCCGGGAAGGAATGGCGACCTACGGCCGAGCAATTAATCTTGGGAGTGCATTATTTCGTGAAATAATTTCTTCGAGAACATTATCTCGAGAGTTTTTCCCATTTAAAAATATAATTTTAAATTTTAAGTCAAACTAGATTTAAACAATTATATAAAATGACACTAACATACATAATTTAGACCCACCCCATATCCATCCATATAAACTCCTCTGGTCTAAGATAATAAAATATTTTTTATATTTCAAAATTAGAAGATATAATTTTGATAAGCATTATTAAATTAATATAAGATAAAAAAAGAAAAAAAAGGAGAAGAAGCAAACATTAAAGAGAAGTGAAGATAGATAGATGTAAATTTCAGATGCAAACAACAAGACTTAGAGGTAAGTATTTGATTAAGACGAGTAAAAAAATTTCGAGTTAGTCAAATTGATAAGTCTTATTTTATAACTCAAATTTTATTTGAAATTTTTCGAGTTGAGCTGAGTTTATGAAATTTGAGTCGTTTGTGTTTCTATTTAAATTTATCTGTAAATATTTATAATATTAGGGTACTAATTGATTATAATTTAAATGACTTTTTATAACCATATATTATATACTTATATATTTCTTATTATTTTTCATATGCGATATATATATACATATCAACTCAAACTAAAAAATTAATTTACTAATTATTAAAAAAATTAATTATTCAAATTTTATTTTAAAATTTTTGAATCGAGTCGAATTTATTCATCCCTAATCAGTGGCGAAAGATAATGGAGACTAGTAGGGGCCATGGTCCCCCAAAATTTTGAAAATTTATAGTTTAAACCTTTAAAATTTTTAATTTAGACCCCAAATTTTTTTTTAGAAATTCATATTAATTTTTTTAATTTTCTTAAATAAATTCATCTTATAATTTTTTAAAATTCTCATTAAGCCTCTCATAATTTTAAAATTTTTAGTTATACCCTAATTGTTTTCTGAAAAAAATGTAAACTGAACCATTAAAAAATTTAATTTTTTTAATTTAAACCTCTAAATTTTCTAAAATTTTAAGTTGACCCTCTCAATCTCCCATCAAGTTTTGTCACAAAAAAGTGTTGTTTGTCTTGTTGTTTTATTATATTCCAAACCCATCTCCAGTCCCTTGTATCATCATTAAAGCTTCCAACGTTCTTATTTTTCGTAAACCGTTGGAGCCTAAAAAAAATTCAAATTTAAAAAAACCCACTCTCCCATTTCCCATTCGTTGCTCCACCTTTCACTTCTTTTTGTTGTTTCTCACTCTCCTTTGTTTCTTCTTTTTTCTCCATGGATCTCTTCTGATTCCCCCCGTTTTAGTGCTTCTACCATGGGGTGTTTCCTTGGTTGTTTTGGGGTTTCTACTAAAAGAAAACGTCGAAAACCAGCCAACCGGATTCTCCCTGGACCTGCAGATTCAGTAAGTTTTTTCATTTTTTGGTGTGTTTTTGGATAATGAGTCAGTAAAGTTTCCAATCTTGATATTTAATGGCTGCTGTTGCAGAGATTCGTTAGCTATGAACCCTTGGATTCCTCTAGTTCCACAAATGTTGACATCCCAGAAGACTCCCTTGTCTCAAAATCTCAGCTAAGGTCAGTTGCTGGTTTTTTGAAATCAAAGTGTTTCTTATTGCACCTTTAAAGGTATTTGATTTCTATGTTGATTGCAGTAATAAGCCGAAGGAGAGATCGAGTGTTAAAATCAGGAAGAAAGTGAGCTTTAACTTGAATGTTCAAACCTATGAGCCGATTCCGGATGAAGAATCAAGTACGTTCCAGTTTTTAAAGAGTGTTGAAGAAGAAGAAGAAGAAGAAGAAGAAGAAGAAGAAGAGAAGGAAAAGAATGGAGGAGAAGATGGTGTCTCAAGTTCATTGCAGATGAATGTTTATCCAAGAAACTATAGATACCAAAACTGTAGAGACAGCTATGATGAAGAAGATGAAATGGTGTATGAGGAAAGTGATCTAGAAGATGATGATTATGATTATGATGACGATGATGATCAATTTGAATCTCTAAACATGGATTCAACAAAGGGAGACGACTTGAAGAATCAAATGTCAGTATGTGATTCAACAGATGGAAATGCAAGGATGAGAAGCCAATATCTATGTGCCGTGCTGAATCCGGTGGAAAACACAACTCAGTGGAAAGACATCAAAGCTAGAGCAGGCGTGAACCCGAAGCAGAAGGAGAATGTTGCAGTAGAGGAAGAATCACAATCACAATCAAAGCCCCTTCTGCAAGACATAGCAGTGGATGCTAGCCTCTCCAATTGGTTGATTTCACCGAAGATTGATAACCTGCAGCAATCGAAGAAAAGCATACCAGATAACAGGTCATTCTCCAGGAGAACTGGAGAAGATAAGGTGATCATAGATATCACTAACCTATAGTTTTCAAGAGTGTATTGTTTGTTTGTTTGTTTGTTGTTTTTGCATGTCAGTTTTTGATTCTTTGATTCATTTTATAATGCATAAGATTTCATAATTCTGGTTGTAACACCCTCGCCCAATTTAGACGTATGGTTGGATGATGTAACATTCGAATATCGGAGTAAAAACGGTAATGATTTATTTTTGGTAGCCTAAGGGGCTCCTATATGTTCATGCTGTACTATCTTGTATAAGGATTTAATTTCAGGCTTCTCAAAACACTATGCTAACTTAAGCAAGGAAACTACTAACATTCTCACATTTTTTTAGCAAATAAAATAGCAATAAACAGTTACTTTACGCATTCTATCAGATATGTCTTTATGAAATCGAGAGTTACGATTCCGTGAAAGCAAATGATTGTTCTTCTGCATCAGCAAAGCAACCATGAGTGTTAATGATGGATAATTAACATTCATTTTGCTATTGTGGAATGTGATTTCTTGATGTACAAAAGTGAATATCAATCAATATACATTATGCAAAAAAGATAACCATCATCTATATCTGCTTTCATTTCTAAGACAAGGTCTATGGAATTCTCACATCTTCACTGTCAAATGATAATGAGCTCCAATTCGATAAACTGCAAATATACGAGAGACCGTCTCGCTCAGCTTCTGGACCTTTTAATCTTATGTTAATCCGACTCTTCGTTTTTCTTGAAGTACTCATATCCGATGCTCACACTTGAGTTCATGTAACCAAGGAGGCTATCTTGTAGCAAAATCATCAAAATCAAGGTGGGAACTGAAGCCTCAAAATTGATCTTTCCAGCAGATAATCCCTGACTGCTTCCTATATTTCATCTACATTATTGTACATATACAGGAATCCGAGTCCGACTCCTCGTCGGAATCACTCACATCACTGCAGGCAAGGGTAAGACATTAGTATGCCAGAGATACAATGGGAAACCAATGAAAAACACATTAGCAACTATTCAAGACCAAGTAAATCATACTGCAAGGTCAGTTCTTGATGTTTCAAATGCATTACAGGGACCATATTTTAGCTTCCTATGCTGTCTGTTTATGCCAACAAATTTTTTGAAGAAATGTACAAAAGCAATAAAAATAATGTGCCACAAAGTCATTTTCCTAAGATTGGTAAGGGCCAATTTACAAGGACCAACTACAAATGAGTCCCAAAATTGTAGGACAAAGCAAAAGCAATTGAAAACTTGACAAAACCAAATACTAAATACAGCAAATATGCACCAAACCAAACCCTCCAAGCCATTTACATACAAAGAGATGACAGTACATTGCCCTTTCAACTGAAAGCTTGTATGCTACATAAACAATTTCAGTTCTTCTCTATAGAGCTACTTCGCCAAAGCCAAAGAGATAACAGAGCAATAGATTTGCAGATCCAAAAAACCAGGGAGCAAGAAAGAAATGAAAGTCTCAAACATCAAACAAAGAGCAATTACCGTGGTTCAAACACCAAAATCTCTGCGAGTTTATTCCCATTTCTATCGTTCCATTGGACTTTTCGCTTGGGTTTTTCAGATTTTCTAGCTATCCCACCTCTCTTTGGCGGCAACAAAGTATTTGACTCACTGTAATCATCTCCATTAGTATGAGCTTCAACTTTCGGAGAATCTATGGTACCTGAAATTTCATTTCCATGTCCATTAACATCATTATGGACGGCATCCATTGACTGTTACACCTCCAGCAAAGCAAAATTCTGCTAAACCTAAAACGAAATTGGCTTCAAAATTGATGGTTGGGAACAAAAGTTGGATCTTTTTATCTCAAATCATAAACCCATTAAGCCAACTGGGTGAAGAGATTTCATAAACCTTTCTCTGAAATTTGAAGGAAAACCATTAAGCTATGTTAGTTTGTGAATATACAAAAATCCCATATTCCCCAGAAAAAAAAACTGATGAAATAAGAAAACCCACTGTAAAACTGGGATTGGAATGATTCATTGATATATTTCTAGAAGAAAGTCAACGCCTTTGTTCTTGTTTACGCCATAAAAAAGTTGCCATTTATCTTCGAGTTTTGTAAAAGGAAAATAAAACTGACTTTTAAATAAGTGGTTAAATTGTTTTATTTAATATATTATATATAGTTTTTTTTATAACCGTCGATTTTTGATTTAATAATCAACTAATTCGGATTGAGTTTTGTGATCCTTCCAACATTTTGGTATATTCACAAACACCAAAATATGAATCACTGATATTATTTAAGGGATCTAATGTTTCATCATACTAAATCTATTGGTTATTGGTATATTATATATAATATTAAAAGATAAAAAAATATATTCATTAATATTATTTATGAACTTATAAAAAAAATATAAATTTAGCCATTTTTAAACTGAAATTTCATTCAATAACATCAAATTTGTTAAAATGTTTTTGTTGAGTTAATCGATTGACTGAATCGGCCAAGAGGGGGTGAATTGGCAATAAAAATTTTGGTGGAAGCTTTTGCAGAAAATTGAAAGAAATTGCACAGCGATTTAGAGTGGTTCGACTTTATCAACCAAAGTCTACGTCCACTACCTTAGCTATCCACACTAAGGATTTTTCAACAAATTCACTAATTTGTTCTTTCTTTTGAGGTCAAAGAGATAACCTTACAACTCCCTCAAGAATATACCCCAATTCTTGAGAACACTCTTTTCTCAAAGAGAAATACAAATTTGCAAACTTACAAGAAAAACCCCACAAGGCAAATATGTTTGCACAATTCTAGAACAAAGAAGGAACACTCAAGAATAAATACAATTGAGCACAATAAGTGTTCTTGAAAGAAAAATGAATATTGAATGAAAAATAGGCTTGAAATGCTCAAACTTGAGGTTTGATGCTTTCTCTTTGATTCTCTCTTGATTCTAATTGCTTGATGTTTCTTGTTGTTGATCAATGGCTTCTAAGCTTGCTTAAATACACTTTGAATCACTTCTAAACGTTGGGGATGATTAGTGAAGATCATATAGACGTTTTAGTGTGAAAACAATTAATAAAACAGCTTGGAGCGTGGGGGGAATCGGTACCCCCTATGGGGAATCGGTTCCCTAAGTGTAAAATTCAAATATTTCGACCGTTATACAAGGGGGGAATCGGTACCCCCTAGGGGGGAATCGGTTCCCTCCGAGCATACTGGAATTATCGGAGCCAAACCATTCAGGGGGAATCGGTACCCCCTTAGGGGGAATAGGTTCCCTCTGAGCAATCTGCAATTTTTGGCTTTGAAATGGTTCGAAATACTTTGTAAAATTATTTTGAAATTGTTTTAAGATTAAAACTTAATTTTACACTTTGAGTAAGGATTAAAAATGATCTTTGAAAGATTTGGAGTAATGTTTTGATATTCGAATAATTCTATCGAATATACTTAGAAAATCATTTGGAAAATCTTAAAATTCATTTAACTTAATTTGTTATATCGAAATATCAAAATGTTTTCAACAATCTCCCCCTTTTTGATATAACAAAACATTTTAGTAATTTTAAGATTTTGAAATCAAGTTTTGAAATTACTCCCCCTTACTTTAACACTTCTCTCATTTATCATTTAAAAACACTTTAACACTTCTCCCCCTTTTTGTTAAATCAAAAAGATATTTTAAAGAATTTAAACAAGGTTTTGAAATCAGTTAGCCAATTAATTATATATAATATAAGCTGCTAAGATCACAAGCAAGAGAAACGTTAGCCATTAGTTTCATAATCAATATTCATAATTAATGTGAAATGGCAAAATTGGTCATATATCTAATCATGAAGTAAATGATGCAATAATGAATAAATTTAATCACACCAAATAGATAATTTCTAACCATTCATAAATCTAAACAAATTCAAAGTCAATCAATCCACAAATTCAAACATTCCAAAATATTCAAAATGTTAAAACAATAAGTTTGGAGTTCAAAGCAAAACATTGAATCACATATCCGGATCAGCAGGAGGAAAACGAGCTCGCATAGCGGCCATTTCGTTAGTGAGGTCATTAATACATGCGTTGGTTGCTTCATTATTTGCACGCATTTCCCGAAGAATTTCTAATTGTTGAGCTCCCATTGTGGATAAATGGGACTCTATAGAAGTAAAGCGCGAATCCATAGTAGCGTATCGAAAATCGAATGTCTCCATAAAGGATTGGAAATATGGAGGCATTGGATGCGTTTGTTGTGCTTGCTCTTCGAGCTGCTCCTCGGGCTGCTCAGGCTCATCTTTGGATTCATCAATGTCTCGCATTAATTGCTCAAGCTTGAGATCTTCGTCAGCTTCGAGTGGAGCTTGTGAAGAACTAGCTCCCGGAGTATTTGCAGAAGATCGAACCCATTCACCGGTTTCCTTATCCTTAATCCATCCCGCTCTCGTTAAGGAAAGAAGGTTAATTTGTTTCTTAAGGGGAAAAAAAGCATCTAGACCGGCTCTAAGCCCAGCTTTGGAAAACAGATTACTCAAAATGCAACCGTAAACAAGAGATGAACATAGTTTTTTATTAGGAACAAGATTTACGGTTTCAACAATTTCAGCAAAAATAATCTGAGGTAGGTTGATTTTAATATTGTTTTCGAAACAATGTAACCACCAAAAATCTAAGGCTCTAAGAGTAGAATAACGACCTCCGGATGGTCGAAACCACCAAGAAATTATTAGATGAAGAAAACGTTCATGAAGGTCTAGGACACTTGCACTATCCCTTCTTTTATAACGAGATCCTAAAACCTGTTTTTCATTTGAAATACCATCATTATCTAATCCGAATGTATTGGCTATGTAAGCCGAGTCAATATATAAGAATTGTCCTAGAAGGTAGGAACGAATTCCTATGGTTTCGGTTTCATTTTGGTTTTTAACACAAACGGCATTAGAATAGAAAATACGAACAAGTTGATGGTAAACGATGGGTTCAAGGTTAAAGAGTTTATCAAATTTCCACTCTTGTAAAAGAGGAAGATATTTAAAATTGATAGCTAACATAGCTTGACAAGAAGGAATACGTTCTTCCCGGATTTTGTAAGAGTCGAAATATTGATAATACCAAAAATGATGATTTCTAGGACCAGGATGATTGAAACACGAATTTTGGATAGTTAAATTAGGATCAATGGGATT